CTATTATATTTCATCTATAATGTTTTAAAAAAATAAATAACCAAATATCAAAATAATTTCCAACCACAGTTGCGACATAATACAATACCGTACAATCATAATTACAACCACGACATTTCACAACAATTCTAAATGCGTCTTAGTGTTCTTAACAAAAGTTACTATGTTCATATCCATTTCTGTTTCAATCTAGGGAAGATTCCCTGCTTTATTTATTTTTATTCCGGAATTCCTTTTCATTTTTATGTCAATGTTGGGTATTCATATCCAATTTAATCTGATTCCATTTTTGTTTCCATGCAGGGAAGATTTCCTGCTTTATTTATTTTTATTCTGGAATTTCCTTTTAGGAAAATGATTTTGAGATAATTTTTTTTATTAAATTTTAATACACTTTAATATGTCATTTAAATCGTTAATTTTTTTTATTTATGTAGAATCCATAATATTGAATGTATCTACTCATTTAATAACATGCGAAAATTATATCAAAAAGTTATATAAAAAGATTATCCTTATAGCCCTTCCCTTTCGTTTTTATGTCACTACTAAGTGTTTATATTTAATTTAATTTGATTGATCAAACTCAAATTGACTCAATTTAATTAAAAATTAAATTAAATCAATACAAAATTGAATTGATTTGAATTATAGAAATTTAAAATCAATATAATTGATTTAGTTTGTGATTTTGCTTTCAAATTACTTAACTACATAATAATTTAATTAATCATATGATACATTTTTTTTATAAAATTTTAAATTTTCTCTCTTTTTTTTTTATATTGTACAAGATAATAACTCCATTAATTTAATTAAAAAATAAAAATAAGGTATCTTCATATTTTCTAATTTATTTTTCCTTTTTAATCAAGTATTTTAACCCTAATTCTAAATCTCTAATTCATTTGTCAAGAGTGAGTTTTTTTTTTTTTTTTGATAGAAAATAGAGAAATATATTAAATAATAAGAAATTTTAGCAGAATCTCCATCTCATGGCATTATAGCCAAAAGCAAAATAGCCTAATGACAAAATCAAAAACATAACCTACAGCACAACCTATAGCACTAATAACAGATTTAAACTATACCCATGACGGATGTAGACAATTAAATAAAGAAAGCCATCCACAACTAAAAATTGAAACTACAATTGCTATATAGGCTAAATAGGGCTATTAATGTAGAAAGGTAAGTCACTACGAGCATTAAAAACTATTGAACATCCTCACATATTTAACCAGCTTCCTAGGAAAAGTAAGGGATTTTGGCAACAAACAGTCCCCAACCCACGAGTTGTTGCCCTACTTAAAGAAGAACAAACAAGATTTGTATGGGTCTTTTTCAGACAAGCACAGGGCCCCTCAATCGCCTCCATACAGTCCCAATCATGTTCTGATCTTTGTCAATCCTCTTCAAACCCATGCTATCGAAACTCATTAAGGGAATTAGAGCCCCTTTGCAGACTTGAATATCAAGCTTCCCAAGTAGACCATAGTCGAACTCACCAACAGCATCCTTTTCCTTCTACAATCCGATGGCTGATCGAAAATTGGTGTGAACCAGTTTTGCTAAATTCAACCTAGTTAGGAATGAGTATTGAGTATGAGTATACCCATTATTTGCAAGTACCTTACTTGTTTAGATAAACACTATACTTGAACTCTAAAAGGAAAAAAAAAAAAAGGGTAAGTAATGCGTATGAAAATAGTATACTCATAAAAGTGAAGTAACAAACATAGAGATTTAGAATTGTTTACTTGATCTATTTAATCTACTTGTTTAACTTACATATTACTTATTTATACAATTAAAATTTTATATGTACTTATTACAATAATCTTAAAAATAAAACTAATAAAATACAAAAAATAAAAATAAAAATTAAGTAAAGCTTATAAACTATACAAATCACATACACAGCAATAATAACTCATATAAATAATAAATTAATAATAAAACTTAAGTCAAACAAATAACACACATAACAATAACATATTATATTAGATCTTTTATTTCTCTGAGTTAATTACATAAGTATACTCGTAAGTTACCTCGTGCTTATTGAGTTAAATATCAAATATAAATCTTTGAGTATTTGAGTAATTTAAAAAGTTGTACTTGAAAATTTTCAAGTCAAGCACTAAATATAACCCATACTCAACCTATACTTAAAAATGCTTACTCCTATTGCCTACAACTTTACTCGTCAAAACTAATTTGTGATTTTGTTTTTAGAACTTAAAATTTTTAATTTGTTCATAAAATGATATTCTAATTCTCCTAACTAAACCAGAAAAAAGTGTCATTTTAGACAAGGTTTTTAAAACCGGATTGGATCGATCGATTGAATTGGTTGGACCGATATCCAGTAATGAAAACGGTTTGGTTTATATAAGAAAATCGTTTGATGTCAAAACCGATCAAAATCGGTCAAAACCAGTGGAACCAAAAAAACCACCAGTTCAATTTCTCATGCAATCTTCTTTCAATTTTTTCGAATTTCACCCTCCCATTCCTTTCTTATACCCATTTTAACATTTAATTTTAACAAAATTACAAAATTATCAGACACTAAATTAGAAAACCCCTGCCTGTAGCCTGCTCATCTTGTTAAATCTCCTTTGTTGTTTGGACCGATCGGTTCATTGATTCAACCGATTGATCCAATTAAATCGAAAATCGAACCTAAAAACGGTTCAATGACCAGTTTGGTTTTAAAAACCTTGATTTTAGAAGTCTTAAAACTTCATAATAAAACTTGTTTTAATATTTTACTATTCTTGAATGTTTGGTTGAAGAGTTTTTAATTTTGATTATGAATGCTTCTAATCAATTCTAGTAATATTTATTTTAAACTTTATTCACTTTTAACAATTGAATTTTATTTGTTTTTAACATGGTTTTGAAGATAAGATCGAGTCATTAGTGTATTAAGGAAAAAAAAATAATTTTAACCTTCATGAATTACTTGTATTATACTTAAAATTTTGAGTTATCTTTTATTATTTTTGGTGTCTCAATGATGTAGTCAAAAAGAATTTCTAGATGTTTTCAATTTTTACAATTGTAAAGGAGCATAATAACTTGTTTATAATTTTTTTGAATTAGATTTCTATTGATTTAT